AGGTATGGGAGGTAGGGGAAGTGCCACGAACCTGTACCACCAGGGGTGCGGCCGAAGGTCTTCTTGTCCTTCTGTGCATCATCCTTAGCCTCGACCTCGCCAGTAGCAGTGAGAGCCTCGGCGTTTGCAATTGAGTTGGACTGAGAGGCCATTGTAGTCCTCTCGCGAAGCCCAGTCTCACCCAGGTTAGAGCCTGTTGAGAGGCCACGATCCATTGTTGAAATGTTGAAATGAGTTTAGGAGATTTGTTAAATTGTAGCGGGCAGATGCAGTGGGAAAGACAAGAGAATGAATGGAAGGAGAAGGAAGAACAGAAGAAGCAGAAGCATGTGACAGTGGCCGTGACAGTGGGGGAAAATCAACTGGCGGGAAGGCAATGATTGGTCTGACCTCATCCGAGCCAACAACCAGCCACTTCCAGCAATTTCGAATATTAATTCTGAAAACTGCAGTGATTGTCAGGGAAGGAAGTCAAGATGAAAAGAAAAAGTGGGTGAAAAAAGGCCAGTTCTGCCTATTTATGGTTAATCTAAGATCACAACGCCAAAAAATCTGTTGGGAGTGAGACAAAGCACCTAGAGTCACTAGCCATGCCTCCTTCCCCAATTCCCCCATGGCCTGTCTTCGGTTATGGCTTGAGGTGGATCCCAATGCACTGGGGAAAGGGAGGCATTCGATGGGACGGACAGGCTGGAATCATTGGTCTAACACCAATCATGACCCTCATCAGGGTCTGGGTGGGATTCAAAGACAGCGCGGGTCGGAATGAGGGAGAAAGCCTGGAATTAGATGCATAACAGAAGGGTCCAGTCATTGACCTCCCCGAATAGTGGCATTGCATTATCCGGCACCACAGAGACTAATATATTAGTTCTTGTGGGCGGTAACAGCGGTGTTCTCATCCTCTGTGCTTGAATGGACACTTCTCCTCTCGCTAAGCCTCGATAAAGGCCCTAGTGTCACCATCCACTGAAGCTGCAGAAGCTATGTTTTACCTAATGTACCTAGTTATGTAAGCTTTACAGGATTTCTTTACTTTGGTAGAGACCCGAGCACTCTCAAATTGAGATGAGAATCGATGGAGACGAGATATGTCTGGGCTCTTCTTGTGCTTCAGATGCTAGATGCAAGAATGGGCTCCTTACTTGAACACATTTGTTTTCAAATCAAGTCCATGCACTATGGAGTCGTCAGTGCTGTACCCAAGGATTGTGATATCATAATAGCCTCTTGGTCCCCGTGAGAGGGTTAGGGTTCTGACATAGCATTCCTGGTCGATACCCCAGTCGATATGCCCCTCATCTGATCCTAGGGATCTCAGGGACTGGGCCTATTTGAATCACATGTAGGAGGCTAGCTCGATACAGCAAACATGCAATCCTTCATCCAATCTTCGCAAAATCTCATGGCAGGCTTGTAACGATTCGTTGGAGCAACAAGCCCACTAGCAATACAGTACTCATAAGTAGATTCAAACCCGCATCCTAGGACGACGATGACCTGGCCTCTCAATAGATTTGTGAGACACAATAGCATTAGTAGCCATAGCTTCATGCTGCAGCCAGAGAAGATTTATCCCAATTACGTCCTGAATCATAAGACATGACCTACCTCCTACTTCTAGCACTGAAGTAGTTGCGTACAGATAGGATTATGCACAAAGCGACTCATACAAGATCGTTAAACGTGCCCCTCTCGTATCAATCTTATCACTGCATTCAGTCCGACACCGCTGGGAACTGAAGGCAGCCCCGCACCAATCGCCACGGGAAGGTTTGTCATCCCTCCGATAAGTGCTGATTATCAAGCAACTTCCCGCGGTCATCGATCCCCGCCACTTTTCCTTCAGCACCACTTCTTGCTGTCAATCAATACCTTGTTCAATTCCTCCTGATCACTTTTCATTACTCAAATCAATCCGAAGGGATAGTCGGAGAGCAGCCACTAGAATTGCCCCTTCTCTCGAGGAGCCGACGACGGCTTACTTCGAAGCGCCTTCCAAGATGGCACCGAATCTTGTCGCTCCCGAACCAGGTTGGTTTCTGTTTTGCGCCGAGTGCAACATTCATGACACTGATTATTCCTCTGCTCATAGAGCACTGCCCTGGTCCTGAATCCGAACAAGCTGGTCAAGGCGATGCTTGTGCCGGCTGCCCGAATCAACAGATCTGCGCCTCCGCTCCCAAGGGCCCCGATCCCGACATTCCTATCATCACCGAACGGCTATCGCAAATACGGCATAAGATCCTCGTATTGTCCGGCAAAGGTGGCGTGGGTAAATCAACATTCACCTCCCTACTCGCCCATGCGTTTGCTGCGAACCCCGAGTCGACCGTCGGCGTCATGGACACAGACATCTGCGGGCCGTCCATCCCCAAAATGATGGGCGTTGAGGCGGAGACCATCCATGTGAGCAACGCAGGCTGGAGCCCCGTATGGGTCACGGATAATCTGGCTGCGATGAGCGTACAATTTATGCTGCCCAACCGTGACGATGCGGTGATCTGGAGAGGACCCAAGAAGAATGGACTCATCAAGCAGTTCCTCAAGGATGTGGACTGGGGTGAGATGGACTACTTGATCATCGATACGCCGCCCGGAACATCAGATGAGCACTTGTCCGTCAACTCGCTGTTGAAAGACTCTGGTGTCGACGGTGCGGTGGTGGTCACCACCCCTCAGGAAGTCTCTTTGCTAGACGTGCGGAAGGAAATCGACTTCTGTCGCAAGGCTGGAATCCGCATTCTGGGGTTGGTCGAGAACATGTCGGGCTTTGTCTGTCAAAACTGCAACACAAAATCGCAAATTTTCCGAGCTACCACCGGGGGCGGAAAACGTCTTGCCAAGAAGATGGGTATCCCTTTCCTGGGCGCTGTACCGCTCGACCCTAGAGTTGGCATGGCATGTGATTACGGTGAAAGCTTCGTGGATAATTTCCCAGACAGCCCAGCTTCAAAGGCCATCAAGCAGGTCGTGCGTTCGGTCGCACGATTCATTGGGGAGAAGCCGGACGACGTCCTGCCGGAGGACACGGTCGAGTAAAAGTACTGTCTTTTTTCTTTCATGTCTATCAGCGCGGTGCATTTGGGACGGCATGTAAGGGGATTCACACGATTTGCTGTCATTCCTGGGCGTTTGGGCATAGATGCAGTTATTCTTGATACCAGATTATTTTGAAGGCACCTTGATCTCTTGTTTACGAACAAAGTATAACTTCTGCTTTTTTTATGCTCCCCAGGGGTTCGCCTTAGAATTTTGGGGGCGATCTATCGCTTTGGGGGCGGACCGGTCGAAGTAGAATTAGTTAACGAGCCCAGAGGATGCAATGCTCACATGAGCCATCATCCTCTTCATGCTCACCTCGCCCCCTCAGTCAACATAGGGTCTGAATAATGCTGATCATGTCGATTGATTGAGTATTTAAAATGCCTGTCAAGTCCCTTCTCTGCCCCGAGCCCCTTGGCATATTGGAACTGGCACTTAGCTGACCACTTTTGACCCCTCGAATTTCGCCGTTGACTTGGCCTCTCTTGGCTCTGTTTGAGACTTGGGAATTATGAAGCAAATTGGACCCGCTTCACCAACTGCCCGAGGTCGACACATGGAATAACGTCCTTAAAATAGCCTTCATAACTCGGGCAATCCGGAGACACCCTTGCTGAGGATCTCAACTCTGCCGAATCTTTGCCGAGAGAATGTTTTAATCCATTGTCCGACCAACGATCGCGATGTCGTGGCTAAACGCCCGGTGGTATTCAGCCAAGCCCACTGTAGTTCCGGCGGTGTCTCCTGAGTTGCGAACCTATTTTCTTTACCTTTTTCTTTGCCTTTTACCTTTTTTCCGGGCCAAATCTTGGGACTGCCTCGGTCATCCATGGTGAATGACGGGCTAGGCTACTTGCGATCGCGGGAGGCGTCTGTCTACGCGGCCTGAGGTCGGATAGACCGGTTGATGGAAACTTGCCCTCTTCTCGATCTCGAGTCTAGGCCGGAGTCTACTGATATATTAGCAATAGGAAATAGATAGCAGCACTAGCTATAGGATCCAGTTTGTGCAGAACCCATCATCTGCCGGCTGGACCGTGCCATTGACATAAGGTCATTAACTTTCAACTACGGAGAACTAGTCGAGGATTGACTACGGAGTAGAGAGAGAGAGAGAGTAGAACTCTGTAACACTTCAATCGCTGGGCCTGCTTCAAAGTTCAAAGAGGGGCAAGGTTGTTTCAGGATTGACAACAGCTGATTGGACCCTGACTCGGGAGTCGAGCGGCTGGCGGTTTCAGTGCGCAGGTGCCTGGAGGAAGTGGCGGAAATATCCTGCCCGCGAGGCGACCATTCGCCAGTGCCCCTCCCCAGGCGCCTGTCAGGTTGATCAGTCTTTCTCGGCTTTGGCACCCATGGATACGCTGATGCGCTGATGCGTTGATACTCTTTTGCTAACAGGGGCAAATCCCTCGGATTGGCCCATGTTTGGCTCTTTCTCGGTGGATTCGTCCTCCAACTCTTGCAATATCGGGTTAAGACCAGCCTAACTCACATTTAGTTGGAACAGTGCCACGCTCCAGTGAACCCCATTTCCTGAGCACCATGCGTCAGTTCTCGACTCTTGGGTTCTTGGAATTTTCTGGGCGTAAGTAATGATATTCAGGTCCTCGACTTTCTTCGTTCTGTTTTGTAACTCTTTTTTGCACTCTTATAGCCTGCGTTTGTTTCGTTCTCTTCCTGCTGCAATTGACATTGTAGCTCGTTCATTCACTTCTCTTCCTCTGCTATCTTCTTTCTTTCGTCGTGGAAGGATAGCACTCCCCTTTTTTTTCTTTTCTTTTCTTAATATTCAATTCTTACTTTTTTGACTTCCCTCGTCAGTTGGTAGAGGATCACTGGTGCTTACACTCCTTTCCATCCTTCTTGTCCATACTGGTGGTTATTCTTGTTGTTGTTGGCTCAGTCAGGACTCGGCCCCCATACTTTACCTTCCCCTATAAACTGCGCGCTGTTCCTTCAGGAAAGGAGTCTCACTTTCAATCAAAAGACTACTAATCATTGCGCTCTTTGTTTTTGTGTTGTGTTTCTAGACCCTCCTTGGCTTGGATGTTCACTCTTTAACAGACTAATCCACATACTCCAACTGAGCTACAATCATGCAGCTCCTCCAGTCTCTCTTTTTGTTTTTGTTCTTCAGTTACAGCGTTGTTTCTTTGCCAACTTCGGGTCGCACTCAGCATAAGGGAAGATCTTACAAGGTCAGTCGGGTTCGTCGCGGAGAGGGCGAGTTGCATGGTCCCTCGGCGCTGCGAAAGGCATATCGCAAGTTTGGCATTGTTCCCAGTAACCTCAACATTGAGCTGGAGGACTTCGCCCCCGTTACCACTGTCAAGCACAACGTCGTCGCTGCCAGCGATAACAGCGCCGAGCCAGATCAGGTTGGTGCTGTCAGCGCAACCTCTGTCGAAAGCGATGCCGAATTTGTTTCGCCTGTTGAAATTGGTGGCCAGAAGATCGTCGTGACCTTCGACACAGGCTCAGCGGACTTGTAAGAAACACCGGGTACAAGAGTTACTTGATCGGGATACTGACAAGAGATCGATAATAGCTGGGTCCTGGATACTCGTCTCAACAAGACCCTTGATGGTCATACCCAGTACAACCCCGCCAACTCAACCACGTTCAAGGATATGCCCGGCGCAACTTTCAATGTCTCCTACGGTGATAACTCGTTCGCCGCTGGGCCTGTCGGAACCGACACAGTCAACATCGGCGGTGCAATCGTCAAGAACCAAGCCATCGGAATCCCGACTGAAGTCTCCCAGTCCTTCATCGAAGACACCAATTCGAACGGTCTGGTTGGCCTGGGTTTCTCTTCCATCAACAGCATCGAACCCCAAGCGCAGAACACCTTCTTCGCCAATGCTGCGGCTAATCTCGACGAGCCTGTCTTCACTTCTGCCATCAAGAGTGATGGCGTAGGCGAGTATGGATTCGGTCTGATCGATTCGAGCAAATACCAGGGCACCATGGCCAACGTCAGCGTGGATAGCTCCAACGGATACTGGCAGTTCGATACCACCGAGTTCGCAGTGGGCAATGGCTCTATCCAGACGATCAACAACACGCAGACGGCGATTGCTGATACCGGCACTTCTCTCATGCTGATGGACCAGCAGGTGGTGGATGCTTACTACGCCGACGTGCCTAGCGCCGTGTATGTGAGCAGTGCTGGAGGTTACATCTTCCCTTGTAACACCACTCTCCCCAGCTTCTCGATTGCCATCGGCTCGCAGCACTTGGCTACGGTTCCTGGAAACCTGATTGAGTTCTCCAAGGTTGGCACCAACACCACTACTGGACAAGCTCGTGAGTACTTCCTACCCTACCTGAAGGCATAATCAAGCGATACTTGACTAACAACTCTTAGTTTGCTATGGTGGCATTCAATCAAACTCGGGCGCCTCGCTCCAGATCTTGGGTGACGTCTTCCTGAAGGCCTTCTATGTTGTTTTCGACATGCGTGGTCCTTCCCTGGGTGTCGCGGCGCCCGTGTGATTGTCTTGCGATGAGCACAGCCTCTGTTCGTCTAACTTACTTAATATTGTGAGGATGTAAAGCTGCAATAGCATGCTGTAGAGAATGGAATTGTACCATTAGACCTGTGTCTAAAGTTGAATGAGCTGAGGTTGATGCACAAATCGTAGTTTTATGTATATGATGAGTAATCGTATGAGTGTCAATGGAATGCATAAAATTGTGATTGCACAGAACAAGGGGAAAAGAAAAAGGAGATTCTACCCGCGCACAGCAGAATTGACAGCGCAACTTTTAGTCTTCCTAAACAATTTCAATCTCCAATTCCCAAGATCCCCGTCTTTAGACTGGGATCGCTCTCGTGAGTCCGGCAAGTTGACTTCCATCAAAGCGGCCGTGAGCCTTCTGCGGGTCGCCAGAACAACCCCGCGGTTCGCTCCTCTTCCTTGGGCGACGGCAAGATTATTCGCTGCCCCTCCTGCTCTTCTGCCTCGTCCTCTTCCACTTTCTCCAACACCTTCACCTCTACTTTCTTCCCACCACCCTCTCGCCATCCGCCCCTTCGCAAACATGGCCATCAACTCCGCCCCCGAGTCCTCCCTCCTCTCCCTCCTCTACCGGTCCTACCCGGCCGCCATCTCCCCGGACGCCACCGAGCCCGACCTCCAGACAGCGACCCCGAAAATCTTCCCGCACACCAAGTTTTCCGTCACCGAGGAGGCCGACGTCAAGCAATGGCTGGCCACGATCTCCGGCCTGCAGCACGCCCAGGGCAAGGACGACCAGACGGTGATCGCCAACATACTGGGCCAGCTGAACACTCACCTGGCCACCCGCACCACGCTGCTGGGCGCTAAGCCCTCCGTCGCCGACATTGCCCTCTACGCTCTGCTCGCGCCCCTGGTCGAGAAGTGGTCCCCCGAGGAACGCACCGGCGAGCAGGGCTACCACCACATCGTCCGCCACGTCGACTTCGTCCAGAACAGCCCGCTGTTCGCCCTGCAGATCCCCGAGGAGGAGAAGGTTGCCATCGACGTGAACGACGTGCGCTTCGTGCCCAAGCCCGTCGACCCCAAGGCCGAGAAGGAGCGCAAGAAGAAGGAGAAGGCCGCTGCCGCTGCCGCTGCCGCTGGCGGCGCGGAGGGCAAGCCCCTCGTCGTCGGCCAGGGTAAGCCTGCTGCCGAGAAGAAGCAGAAGGCCGACTCGGTCCCCGCTGCTGCTGCTGCTGCTGCTGCTACCGAAACTGCGGCCGCCGCTGCCGCCGCCAAACCTGAAGGCGGCAAGCCCAAGAAGGAGAAGAAGGAGAAGCAGCCCAAGCAGCCCAAGGCGGCGCCGGCGCCCGCCGCTCCCCCGTCCCCCTCCATCATCGACCTCCGGGTCGGCCACATCCTGCGCGCGATCAACCACCCCAACGCGGACTCGCTGTTCGTGTCGACGATCGACTGCGGTGACGCCCCGGGCACGGAGAACACCTCCCTGGACGAGGCGACGGGCAAGACGGTGCGCACGGTGTGCTCCGGCTTGAACGGGCTGATCCCGCTGGAGGAGATGCAGAACCGCAAGATCGTCGCCGTCTGCAACCTCAAGCCCGTCACCATGCGCGGCATCAAGTCCGTCGCCATGGTGCTGGCCGCCTCCCCGCGCGTCGCCGAGGGCGAGGACTCCCACGCCGGCCCCGTCGAGCTCGTCGCCCCGCCCGCCGACGCCCCCGCCGGCGAGCGCATCACTTTCGACGGTTGGTCCGAGGGCGAGCCCGAGAAGGTCCTCAACCCCAAGAAGAAGGTCTGGGAGACCTTCCAGCCCGGCTTCACCACCACCGACAACCTCGAGGTCGCCTTCGAGAGCGCCGCCGTCCCCGCCGTCCAGGGCCAGGAGGGCAAGCCCGCCCTCGGCCTGCTGAAGACCGCCTCCGGCGGCATCTGCACCGTCAAGAGCTTGAAGGGTGCCACCGTTCGGTAAACAGCGTTTTTCGATGTCCATGATATGTCCAGTTCAGCCCATTTGCAGAGGAAAGAAGTGAAAGAATATTTTCTTTTATTATAACGTATACCTTGTCCTCCTCCCGCGCCTCCCCCCAAAGAGAGAGAAAGAACTTAGCGAGTCCCCTTTTCGAACCCCAAAAGAAAAAATGCCATTTCATTTCACTATATTCTCCTCCTAAGACTCTACAGCGATGTTCTACACAATCGACGTAAATTGTACGGAGTAACTTTCGGTAAAGTCATTATGGCTTGAACGAAGAATCAACTTACTTTGGTAATGGTCTTCCCTTGCAGAGCGAATGAATGGCCGGTGCTTTGGAAAGGAAGGGGGGAGGGGGGCTTTGTGTAACCAGCAACAAACACTAAGTCACCTTATAGGTAAATGACTGAGGTGCCTCAGGTAGTAAGTTTTTCAATGTTGCAGAGTAGAGTGTGACAGTCACTTAATCACCCGCCAGTCGGAGAGTCATACTGCTACTCCTTCCTTCCCCTCTTCGTCTTCTTCGTCTTCTTCGTCTTCTTCGTCTTCTTCCTCCTCTTCCTCCTTTTCGCACTTTACCAATGCAGCAGTAACAGCTTGGTTCCAGTTCCGAGTGACCTCGACTCCTCTTTCTCCTCTTCTACCCCGCATTTGCAACCTCCCTCTGAATCAGAATGCAGGGACATATATATGGGGATCGAGTAGTCCTATCCTCTTTCTCTTTTGAGTCCTGGGTTCCCTTCACGCCGCCACTGAGTTAACCTTCCAGTTGTTGGACTTTAATTCAGTGTGGACTGTGTGCATTTTTGAGCATAAACAGTATACATCCATCCTCAAATCCGGAGATTTACTATCCTTCACCATGAGAGCAGTCCGCTTCTACGGAGCTGGAGACATCCGGGTTAATTAGATCGAAGAGCCGGTCTGCGGCGAGAAGCAAGTCAAGGTATGTGTGTATACCGCGCGACTCCTGGCTTAACATCTTCTGTTTTGCTTTTTCTGGTTGCCACAGCCCTGACATTTCCATTGAGATCCGACCTGCGTTTGTAGGGTTCTGCGGAAGTGGTAAGTAGTCCAATACAATCAGACTCTTAAGAGTATACTTGGCAGCACAGCCAACGGCAAACTGGAAATGATCATCGTTGACACAAGGCTCGTGTGTGTGCGTGTGTGTGATGTCAAGATTTGCATGAGTACACGTGCGGGCCGCATCTGGTACCCCTGACGCCACATGCGATCACCGGGGGAAAGCTCCCAACAACCCTGGGCCACGAGTTTAGCGGCATAGTCGAGGAGGTGGGAGCCGCGGTTGCAGATGCTGTCGCAGACCTCAAAGTTGGAGATCGGGTTGCTGTCCGGCCCAACTTGTCCGACGGGAGTTGTCCTCCCTGTTTGCGCGGAACTCCGAACTGTTGTCGCAATTTGGGCTTTGTGGGCTATAGTAGTAGGTTATACCTTTGCTTTTTTTTGGGGTTGCTTCGGCTATCATCAGGCTGAAAAAAGAAACTTTCAAGGCAATGCAGGGGGCTTGTCGGACCACGTCGTGGTTGACGCCGACCATGCCATTCCGCTACCAGACACCATTCCTTTGGATATCGGCGGTGAGGGAAGAGCTCTATCACTTTTCTGTCGCCAGTCTGGTGCAATCCGCTGACGCGATCTATATAAGCGCTTATTGAACCGTTGTCTGTGGCGTGGCATGCAGCAGACCACAGCCCTCTCGAGGGGGCTCGGACTGTTCTCGTCGTTGGAGGGGTCCCTATTGGTTTGGCTGTGGTTCAAGTGCTTTTTGCCCGAGGAGTCGAGTCTATCGTCGTCGCGACGAGACTTCCGCGACGACGAGAATTTGCGAGTAAATTGGGTGCAACTCATGTCCTTGATCCTCGGACGCAAGATGTCGTCTCCATGGTACAGGCAATGACCGGGAACGCAGGCGCAGATGTAGCCTTTGAATGCTCTGGCGTGCAAGCTGGATTGGATACAGCTCTTCGGGGCATCCGGGTCCGAGGAACAGTCACGATTGTGTCTCTCTGGGAGGCAAAACCGATCGTAGACGCCCAGGCCATCGTGCTAGACGAGAAGCATGTAATCGGGGCGGCAATCTTTGCCGATGGGATCTTTCCAGCTGTCATTGAAGCCATAAGCTCGGGTAAGCTTGAGTGGCGTGCTATCCCTGCCGTCCCATTCACCCTCGCTGATTGCTGATTCGTTGTCTCTTAGGCAAGCTCAATCCTCAATCCATGATCACTAGCAAGATTCGAATGGAAGACATTGTCGAGAAAATTTGAGGCCCTGATCCATGAAAAAGATAAACATGTCAAGATCTTAGTTGACATTTCGGCATGAAGCCCAGGAGGGAGGATCTTAGGTGAGACAAGACGACCTGGTCAGATGCGGCTGTGAAGGTCGCACAGTTGTACCTCAAAGTAGTGTTTGTGTTGTCAAGTCCTCTTCCGAAGCCATACATGACGGCCCCGGGCGTGTGTGATGGCACATTTAGTGTGTATAATGACGCCAGCCACTCTCGGTCTACTAGGAGCTGAAGGCAAGAACCGAAGCCTGTCAGCAATGCCAAGAGAATCCGGCCATGATAATCCTGGGCTAGATACTCATACATACCTACTAGCACGGCCTTCGTCTGCTTCTTCTTTTTTGGTTCTCGCCTGAACCCCCGGGGATGCCCGACAGCAAACCAGAACGAAGCCCTGAGTTCAGTTCGCGTAGTGTAAACGGTTTAACCTCATTTGGGTCCTCAAAGCGATGATATCCTAACCTTAGGAATCAACACGTGTGGATACGAACGACGGGCGGGCGTTTTCTGGTTCTTGGCGAGGGTTGATGAGTGCAACCACGACAGCACGGCGGTCCATTCCACCGGAACTACTGACACACTACTCGGCTGACTGCACTGGCTGCGAAGGAGGTGTGATGATGCCAAGAAATACACGTCGAGCAGGGCAGAGCTGAGCGGGGTTATTCCTCGCTCTCTCGTATAATCAACCCCGAAGTCATGATGTCGTAGCACGTAAACTGAAGACTCCTTTGGTAGTAGGAGTGGTTCCCTTTGGTACAGTGTTAGTCTAGTATTGTACAGCACAGCCATACAAAAGAGTAACCCAGAGATTCGGGCTCCGGACTGGCCATGTTCCAGCCCCGAGTTGTCTAGATGCAAAGCCGACAGGCTAAACTTTTGGATCTTCCATGATCTAGACGTTTGAAGTGTCAGACTAAACGGTCACTGACAGACAGCCAGACCGCTCGGGCAAAAGTTCGACGAGTACGGAGTACTACCAGCCTCCAGGGTACATGTAACAACTGCCCGGTGTACATACAGCTGAGCTGAGTACATATCTCTCTCCTCCTTTCGGATATCGGGACCTGATATGTCTTCTCCGACCGAGCTTTGTGCGTCTTGTGAGGCTGTGAGCACCCTATGCTTTTTTTAGTTAACCATTTTTAACAGATGACAAACCTCTATCACGCGGTCCTGAGGACAATAGTCGCAATGCAAACGACGAAGAAAAAGCAACAATGTCGACATGCTGCTTCCTCTGTATGTACCAGGTAGTACTGTATACCGAGATACCGTACTACGGTTACCCCGGTGGCTGCAGAAGAACATGCGTTCGATCGCGCAACATTCATGATTCGACCCTATCCGAACAGGGCGGAACAACGCCACCTTGTTTCTTGTTTTTTTTTTTTAAATGTGTCTTTTCTTTTCTTTTTTTTTCCTTTCTGTTTTTGTTTGTTTCGTTTTGACGGGGGTTGCGGATCTCCGGGTCGAGGCGAAGAGAAACAAAGTTCTATCCCTTAGAAACTCACGGACCTTAAAACCAGCGGAACTGGGGGAGATCGTGACTCCATCCCCCGCTTGATGAGATGTCATCCACAGCTGGTAGCGGAGACAATCCCCCTCCTCCCTCTTTGTATTTGGGCCAAAGCTTGCGGCTGTTGCGGGTTGATGGTCAATGACTGGTGGTTGTTTTGTTTTGTTTGAGGAGTGTGTGAGTTAAGTCCACTCCACGGTTCTGGGAATTGGTTTGAGAGTTCGCCCACATAGGTTGCCGTCATCCGACCTCGAAACAACCTCGAAGAGGTCCGGGGTAAACGAGAGCATCGGAGAATAAACACACAAAGAGAGGTCACTTGGGGAAGTTGGGGAGTTTAATCATTCGGATTCATTGGGTCGCATTCGTTCTTTCTCGAGCTTTCTCCCCGGACCGACTCGACTCTTACACTCCTTCCTACTACGTCCAGTACATCCGACTAAGATAACTTACTAACTTACTTACATCCTTACATTCAACCATACCTACATTCAGTCATACATACTCGCTTGACACTACTCAAGCAGGGATTAGATGGGTCCTAATGTACTAGGAACCTTTGAAGGAGGAGGTATGCTAAAGGAATGGATCATTATGGGGCACTTTGGAATAATGGAAGGATTATTACAGTTCCTGGATGCGATTCAACTGGACTGGGACAGTCAAATGGCCATGCCCGATGTATGTATGTCTCGCCTGCAAGACTCCCTTTTCCCCCTCCCAATATGACCTGATTTATGACCTGATCTGGGTGACCTAACACTCGACTTTTCTTTTTTTTTTTTCACTGCCCGCTTGGCTTAGAATAGAACTGGGAACTTGCCAGACAGCATCTGTACGAGCAGATTGTTCTGTACCCTGGATGGAAGAGGCATTAACCGTGCGTACATCCATCCGGTCGAGTTACTGACCGTCCTCATCTTATCAAATATCAATCGATCAGTACTATTTATTATGGACAGTCCGTCCTTGAAATTGGCTGGTCAACAGTGTTTTTCTTCCAACTTGCTCGATTCATTGAGATTCATTTTGATTCGGCAACAATTCGCTGTTTGTTCACTTTCATATTTAGTCTTCATCTCTGGGTATCGACCCATCTTGAAAGAAACCCACCAAGAGAGGTCCTAGTCTACCAAGATCTCTCCCATCTACTATTAATACACCATCGGGAATCGCGTGTGGCCCTTCCGAGGTGGAACCGTCCCCTCCCCTCCCACCAAACGAAACCCCCCACTCACAGTCCCGGTGTTTCACTCTGGTTGGTGTCGCTGAACTCTTGGGGGATCTCACTATTTTTTTAGGGGCTCTTCGGGTCTTGGGTCTTGGGTCTTGGGGGGAAGGAGGTCCTTTGGGTTCAGTCTGGCACATCATCAATCATCCTTCCCTTGCCGCAAGGCCGGTTTTCGGTTGGGAAGCACCTTTTTTTTTTCCTTGGTTTGCAATCCCGATCGACTGGCTTCTAGTGGTTCTTCCAGGTATTATTATTCTTCTTCTTCTTTTCCTCTTGGTCCTGCCTCCTTTCATCTTTCCCTTCTTTTTTTTTTGTTTATTTTTTTTTTTTTCGTTGGAAAAAAAATATCACACTCGTTTTCTGCCTTCGACTTATATTCTGATTTGTCTGAATTGGCATCATCTCGGGCTTTCTTTTCCATTCGCCTGCCGCCCGGCCTGGCCTCTACAGAATTTAGCCCCTAAAATCGTCTACCACTGTTACTTACTACTTGACTAGTCGTCGGTCTTGTCGGCTGGCTCACTTGGAAGCGGACCGACGTTCTCGTTCGCATAGATTTATAACCGCGTTCTAACCTCCTTAGATCTTGCGTCGCCATTCACTGTTCTCTGTCTAGACTTGCTGGCTTCGGGTCGAAGCATGTCGGACTGACCTTTCTAAACGTTGCACGATCTACCTGTACTGTATCCCTTGCAGTAAACTTCTTCTACCACCTGCTCGATTCTTGTGCTTCGTCCTTACCATGGGAACTCCACTACATGGTACAGCTATTATCACCGGGGCCAGTGGCCTGCTGGGATCAGAGGTTGCCGTCTCCATCGCCAAAGCACAACCCTTTGTCCACCTGTTGCTGGTGGCTCGGGATATCAGATCCGACACCGTGAAGGATGTACTAAGCCGCATCCGTTTGATTGGGCCGCGGTCCGTCGAGGTGGTCAAGTGTGATCTGGCCTGCTTCAATTCGGTGGCGAGCTTTGCACAGTATACTGTGGAGAGAGTTCGCAGTAAAGAGATTCCTCCTGTCACCCTCCTGATCAATTCCGCGGCCAGCTCGTCATACGTCACCGATCAAGTCACACGAGATGGGTACGACCCGGTCTACCAAACCAACTGCATCGCCCCGTTCTTGTTGACGGTGAGCTTGCTCGAGGCCTTCCGAGCCGGCGACGGAACCCCAAACGGCGGTGCCCGAGTCATCAACATCGGATGCGCCGCCATGTCCAAAGGGTCCCTGGACTACTTCGATGAGCAGGACCCGGACAACGTCAGCCAGGCCCCGGGAACCCCGATCAGTGCAAAGGAAGCCACCGCCCGGTTCGGAAGTAGTAAGCTGTTGATGAGCGCTGCTATGTATGCCTTGCGCCGGAGTCTGGTACTCGTGAGTGAGCCCTTAGTTATTTCTCCAGAGTGATGACTGACTGTTATTGTAGGCGGGCAACATCTCGCTCAATGTATATACGATGGACCCCGGATTTATGACCGGGGAGAGCCATCTCACCGCCTCGGCACCTTTGTCGGTGCGCATGGCGCATCAGACCCGGTCTGGACTCCGGCCCATCTTGCGGGTTTTCTCCAAGAGTGCAATCAACAAGGCTAGCGTTCCAGCCAAGGTCATTGCGAAAGTCGCATTCCAGAGGGAAACGGTAGAGAACTGGGGCAGAGAGCGCTATTATATCCTGGATAGCGAGTATGAGGCCGGATCCGTCATTCCCGTGTTGCGAGACTTGCCGCGCATGGATGCGCTGCTGCAGAAGGTGATGCGACAAGTCGAGATCGGTGTCAAGGGCATGGGCTCGCCCCAGTCCAGGGTGTCCCGACTAAGTGCCCACTGATCGGGATTACTCGGGTATTTGGAGTTCTCATCTTGGTCATGGCGTTCTAATCTTGCATTCATCATCTTGGTGTTGTCGTTCGAGGGAAAGGAGTTCAAAAATCCCGAGCATTCTTTGAGGCGTCTTATCGGTTTGCAATCTTGGAGTTTTTCCCTTATCTTTTTTTCTTTGCGGAACCTATGTTATGATAGGGATGTTCTGTAAATAGAGGTTATATCTGTATACGTGCAGAATCAGTCCAATGAGGAAGAGTAATTGAGTCAGTCATTCTTTCATTCGTTCATTCTTCGGCTTGAGAAATGTGGGAAGTGCTAGCAGTGATCCATGATGAAGATGGCTGCAAACGGGCGGGCGGCGGGAAGAAGATTGGGTCTCGTACCGCATTCGGGTCTGGGTCCAGGTTCGCCCGCGGATCCCACCTGGCGGCTTTTGGTCCAAAGGACCGCCTGGAGCCTACGTACCTCCTCTCTCGACGCAATCATTGCTCCGGTCAAAGCCTCGGGGGCTGTTCAGTTCCCTGCCTCCCTTGTCTTTCGTTCCGCATCTTTTCTCTTCATCACCGATCGCGGATTTGCGATATTCCCGCTGGTCTTCATTTTTCCAACCTCAATTCACCTCTTCATCCTCTCCGTCGGCTGCGATTTCATCGGTAGTCTGAGGAAGAAGTTTCTCCAACATCAGAACCTCGACAATTGGTTTGTAAAATCAAGTCGATCTCCTTAGCTGCATGTCATCTTAGGAGAGATGAACAGGCATCACGCCTTCGGCAACGGCTACGCTGCCTATCCCCGTGGCAAGAGCAACAGCTCATTCTCCATCTCCCCCCACCGGTACGCGGTCCTTTCCTCGGCGAACGTCGCGCGCCAGAATCCTGTATCACGTCGATGGGATACAGCGCCGTGTCGACGGAAACCTGAGTAGATCCGTCCGCTAACCTGGGCATTTAGTAGTTTTCAACCCCGGGCACAACCTGCCTTGCGCCGCCGGAGGCAACTCTTCCAGCGACTATGTCTTCTCTGCGGTGTCTCCCTGTTGCTCCTCGTCTTGATTTTCCCGTCGCTGCGCGCCTCCCTCCTTCCGGTGGTATCGCTCGGCCTCCTCCACCCCTACGAAGACCTTCAGATCGAGACGATCCGATACTATGACCTCTCCAAAGTGCAAGGAACCGCCAGTGGCTGGGAGCGCGGGGAGCGGGTGCTCATGTGCACTCCCCTGCGCGATGCCGCCTCCCACCTGCCCATGTTCTTCTCGCACCTGCGGAACCTCACCTACCCGCACAATCTGATCGACCTGGCGTTTCTGGTGTCGGACTCCGAGGATGACACGATGGGCATGTTGTCGCGCATGCTGGACGAACTCCAGCACGATGCGGATCCGAAGATGCCGTACGGCGAGATCTCCGTGATCCAGAAGGACTTTGGACAGCTGGTCAACCAGGATGTGGAGAGCCGACACGGCTTTGCCGCGCAGGCCAGCCGCCGGAAGCTGATGGCCCAGGCTCGGAACTGGCTGCTGAGCGCCACGCTGCGCCCTACGCATAGTTGGGTCTATTGGCGCGACGCGGATGTCTTGACCGCGCCGCAGACGATTCTGGAGGATCTGATGCGGCATGATAAGGATGTCATTGTACCGAGTGAGTTTTCCCGACTTTGATGGCCGCACGCTTGTTTGTATTATGCCCATTCTGACTAATGGTGACCAGATGTGTGGCGACCCCTTCCCGACTGGCTGGGCGGAGAGCAACCGTACGACCTGAACTCGTGGCAAGAATCCGAAACGGCTTTGGCGCTAGCCGACACGTTGGATGAAGACGCGGTCATCGTGGAAGGGTATGCTGAATATGCTACCTGGCGTCCTCATCTTGCCTACCTGCGCGACCCGTACGGAGATCCGGACATGGAGATGGAACTCGACGGCGTAGGAGGTGTCAGTATTCTGGCGAAGGCACGGGTTTTCCGCTCCGGGGTGCACTTCCCAGCTTTCAGCTTCGAGAAGCATGCCGAGACAGAAGCCTTCGGCAAGGTGCGTATCCGGCGGGGCTGTTATCTTGTTGTTGCGTGTGCATGAGACTAACCCTCGGTAGATGGCCAAGCGCATGGGGTTCTCGGTCATCGGCCTCCCACATTACACTATCTGGCATCTTTACGAGCCGAGCGTGGACGACCTGCGGCACATGGAGGAGATGGAGCAGGAACGGAAAGAACGCGAGATGGAGGAGAAAGACCAGGCCGACCGTGCCGAGCGCGTTCAGACCCTGTTCAAGGATGCCAAGACGCAGTGGGACATCGACCATGCCTTCGTCGAGGACGCAATTGCCGAGGATCAGAAGCAAGAGACCGCCGCTTCAGGTTCCTCAAGCGAGACGCTTAAGGGCTCGGAGGAAGGTCCTCTAGCGCAGCCCGCTGTGAAAGAGAGGGGTGGTGCTGGACAGAGCGGCGAGGTTTCTAGTACTCAGATAGAAGAAGCTAAGCGTTAATGGAGCTTTCTTCTGCTGACAGGTATCGAGCTATCTTCTGTTCATGTTTGACATGCCACTCCTGTGCTGGTCATAGGCTTGACGTTCTTTTGTCATGTTTCCAATGTATCCTTGCGTTTTCGTGTTCTCTGCGTTCGTTATTTTGTCAATAATCGCTTACTAGAATATTTTGCATAGTGTCGTCGACCTTATCATGATGGGTCGAATTCCGATTATAGTATAAAACATAGACTCAACCTTTTTTCATCTTCTATCCACCAATCATAATTAACCCGATCAGAGTAATTGAAGGTGTTATCCCGTAAAAAGTCACTCCATATGAGAAAAACCGACCAAATAAACCCATGTCCATGGAATAATACACCGGAAGAAACCGATAAGAGCAACCGCCCATTAAGCGGTGGCCCGTGCGTCTATCAATGCCGCGGTCACCTCCCCCCATCCAACGCGTCCCGCGTCAAATCTTCCAGTTTCCACCAGCAGAGGAGCCTCCAATCTTCCTCCTCCTCCTCCTCCTCCTCCCTTCTCATTCCTTCAATTTCCTCCTCCCCTCGAACAAATTCCTACAAGAACAACTCCCACCAGTCAGAGGAGGATACCAAAATGTCCACCCAATCCGCCCAAAGCATCCTCTTCACCCACACAGCCCCGCAACAAGGCTTCCGATTACTCGAACTCCCCCCGGAGGTCGCGGACCTCCTCGCTTCGGAGAATCCTCCCACGTACGCATTTTCCCTTTCCCTTTCTGGCCCGGAAACTTGAGGCGAGGGGGGTATGCTAACACGGAAGAAATAAAGACTATACCTCAAGACCCCCACCACCACCACCAGCAAAACGAGTGACCCGCGCGAATACGTCAATCTTTGCACTCCGACCCAGACCTACCGCATCCGTCAGGTCCAGTCCTCGAATTCTCTGCATATCTTGAGGCCCAGCGATAGGGGAGGAGGTGATACGGTCCTCCGGCGCGAGGATCTGGCTGTTGTGGATGGGAGGGCGGCTGCTGCTGTTGTTGCTGCTGCTGCACAGAAGGGGGGCCAGGGTGGGGATATGGACGTTGATGTTGAGGTGGATGTGGATGTGGATGTGGATGTGGATGTGGGTGTCGATCTCGCGGAGACGATGACGACGATCGCGAAGTGCGGGTCGACGCTTGAGTTGCATGTGCCGGAGGGGGGGTTCCGGGCTGCGGAGTTCTTGGGGGGTCTGGTGGGCAGGTTTGCGGGGGGGATGAGTGCTGCTGCTGCTGCTGCGGCTACTGGTGGTACTGGTGGTGCGGGGGTCGCGGAGGGCAAGGTGATGGAGGCTGTGTTCGCTGATATCCCGGTTTCCCGGGCGGAATGTGAGAGGGGTTGGGTCGAGGGGTGTGCGTTTGTGTGGCGGGGCAGGGCGTGGGCGCCGACGCCGGAGGTCATGATGGAGGTGTGGAAGCGGGTGGTTGATGGGGCGGTGGTGCAGGGGATTGATCTCCGTGCCCAGTTTCTGGTGGATGATCTGTGGAAGTCGGTGGTGGCGGAGGAGGATGAGGAGGAAGAAGAAGAAGGGGAGGGGCAGTTCCCTCGCGCGTTATTTGAGGCCGTCGTGCGACGCGTGGTTGAGGGGGGGGAGGGGAAGTCCTTGCTTGATGAGACGTTGAAGTGTGAGTTTTTTTGTCTTTCTTTCTCGGTTTCTGTGTGGAGGTCTTGTTGTTGTGGCTGGCTGACACTTTCGGGCTTACTGGTGTAGGGGCTAGTTTGGACAAGGATGCTTGTGTACGATGGGTTGGAGAGACGTATCTGGAGGCTATGGCGCCGATGGCGAGTGCGGCGGTTGGCCGCAGTGAGTTCCTCAACGCTTGGAAGGATCATCTACCTGAGGCTTGGAGGGAGGAGGTGGCTCTGGCTAAATTGACGGTAAGTTGGTTTCTGTTCTGTGCATGCAAAAGACGGTCTCCATTGACCTTCGTGTTAATTACAGGACGCCGTTTATCAACTGCCCGACCCGACGACCATCTGCTTCGTGACGGAATACGAACGACAGCGGTCCAAGAAGAATCTGCCCACCGATGCGAGTGCGTCAACCGCGGCCAAGAAGTCCAGAAACTGGCACGAGCTCTTCAAGAATCAAAAGCGACAGAAGCGGTGACGCTCTAATGTATTCTTCCACCAAATGCACGGCTCCGAAAATGCAGATCATAAACAAATCAGCACCAGGCATATTTCTCATTCAGGCACCACTCCACTGTCTCGCCCAATCCATGCTCGGCGCCGCTCCATCTCAACGATGCGATACTGTCCTTCTGACGGTGAACTAACTCGGCATTGGGCGCGACCATGGCCACTGCCTTTTGCAAAAGGGGTGTCGGATTCCAGAATTCCACTGTGCTCATATTCCACTTGTGTGCCTCGAGTTGCGCGCGTTTCAATATGGCAGCCATGGCCTTGACTGTCCGCTGTGTTTCTTCCGGCGACGTTGGCTCCTCGTACACCCACCGCAGAATATACAGAGTATTTTCCTCCGGCTCTGACCCGAAATTCCTGTTCCATGCACAGTATACGCGCGCTGCTTCTTCGCCAGCACCTTTCACTGCTGGGGCTTCTCTATCGGGGAAAAGAGACTTAACGAAGAACTCCTCCCTCGCCCAATGCCATTTGAGATGATCATAGTCCGGCGCAATTGCAATTTTAGGAGTGTGCGTCTTCAGGGATTCCACTCGGAGGAATTCGCGCTCTTTCTCCAGGATTTGCTCATTGCACACGCGGTCTCGGACATCTTCTGCAGTCAACGTCTTGACCTTTGGTAGGATATCTTCAGCCCCGGTCGAAGAATACTGCTCCTCAGCGATTGCTGGGAGCGCGAAATGAGAAGACAAAAATGGCTTCCAGCCGAATTGAGCATAGAAGTTCTTCCCGATGTCGGAGAAGAGGATGCTGAAGAGAGCCTTCTCCCTGCTTTCAGACTCCATATTCCAGGTGTCGACCTTCTTGCTGAGTTCCTCCATCATCCTCTTCGCATATCCCTTGCCTCTGAACTCAGGCCGGCAGTAAACACTTCCTATGCCGTGCGTTGAGACATCTTCCACTCGGCCGTCGTGCGCCAGCCAGGCCTTCTTCTTGTACGTTTCACATGAGCCTAGGATGGTTCTCTCTCCTTCAGGCTCTCTGTTATCGACCAAAATCCAGCTGGTCAGACCATGCTTGATCAACTGCTGCGCATGGAGATGGCTCTCGCGGGCAATATACGTGTCAAGGTCCAGACGGCCTTTCCAGGCGATGCTGTTCAGCTTCAGAGCTTCAATCTTCTCCGCGGGAGTTGCCGGGACTAACACGAGGTCCGGAGAATCACCCTGCGGGAGAGCAACCCCGTTGGTGTAGTTGTTATCGGCAGCAATCATGGTGTTTTTAGAATCACTTATGGGGAGGTTTCCTGTCTTGGAATGGAGAGGAACCGTGGAACGGACGGAGCTTGGTATATGTACGAAGGCAAATGACCCGGTGACGTGTTTCCACACTCAATTGTAAACGCGACGGTAAACCCCGTGGACTGTACGTATTTCACAAGTGAATGGGGGAAAGGAGGAGCTGCAAGGGGTGAGGGGTCTTTGGTAATATAAGAAATGAATGCCCTGGCTCGATGACGATACGGCAAGCTAACAACAATGGTACCAAAGGAAGTCAACTCCGACGGGGAAGGTTTCCTATTCGCGGTGGTGGCCGAGGACAAGCGACGACAAGCGACGCCTTTTCCCAGTTGAGATGCGTACTGTACCAACTTAACCGAACTATACTTCGAATGATGTAGGTCAGCTGCAACTGTTCACGCTTGTTTGGATCGGGCGATGACCAATGCCAATGGTAGAGTGCTGCTAAAATAGGTGATGTTGTAAGGCGTGTGTCTTGAAGATCTGGGAAGGTCACGATTATTATGGATAGGTAAATTTGATAGTAGCAAAAGACAAAAGTAACTAAAAACTACATACCCCGTCGCTAGCCTTTCAATTCTTGATAAACCGGAGCTCCGGCTTATCGGGGGCCGACGGGGGAAGGAAGAAGGAAGGAAGGAAGGGAGGGGGGGGGGCTGTCATTCTCCAGATCCAGGAGGCGGTCAGCCAGGCAGCTACCACTTACTGCTTCCCCTCTCAGCTCCTTTTCCCTTTCCCCAGAGCCGTCAGTCGTCAGTCAATCAACCACTTCTTTTTCCCCACTACGATATGCTAATATTCAATCCATGCTATGTTGATGTGTTTCCCTTTCCGCCACTATCCCCTGCTTCCAACATCAACTTTCACCCATCCTTCACTCAGGAAGCCTGGCAACTTCTAAAGTCTTCATTCACTGAGAGAGTGTTTATTATCTTCGGTTTGTCAAGCCGTCGTCGCTCTTTCACACATTCAAAGCATTTATCGGTGGGCAGCTTTTTATTGTTATCAGTGCCTATCCTAGCCTAGCCCGCAATCTCCCGCCCGTGCTTGACCAAAGCTAGCGCAGATCACAAAGCCAACACCATCACAGCTCACAACTTCTCTACTCATACTCAGCATCTGTTTCATGAACACTAATTGTGTGCCTAGTCCAACGTTACCTGTAGTACCTACCATCGTATTCACTTCGCCCCTGATCGGCATTTATCCTGCTTTACAACATGATTTACAAGACACTGTACTCGGTGCATGATTCCTTAATCTAGCCTTCGGCCCATTTCCCATACCAAAGGACCATTATCCTACCAACTAGATCCGACGAGTCGCAGAAAAACATTTCTCCGGGTCTCTTTGATCAACTTCTCCGAATGCAACCATGGCATCTCGTCATCCCTACGCATCTAGCGTATCGCAAGTCCTCCGGGAATTAGAGGAGTTCCAGACCATGGACTATGAGAGCGCCTATTATGGCTTTGATGGAGACCTCCTGCTGGCTGACTTGGATCAGGCCGGTCGCTGGGGAACGTCCGCGAACAATAATGAGCCAAATCACGACCCATCCTCCGCAGATCAAAGGCCTACGAAGAAACAAAGGACAGATCGATCGATGCATGAGGGGGCTATCCCAGCAGTGCACACTCCGCACCGCAACACTGACCTAGACTCAAATGCCGTGCAACAACAACAACAAAGAGCTTCAAAGGGTCTTCCTGTGCTCATTGATCTTACAGAAGATGATCACCCGCTAACCGAGATCTTGGAGATCTTCCCAGACATTGATCCCGATTATTTAAAGGGCTTGATCGATCGCCATCTTGCGCTGGTGTCTCAAGCAAAGACAGAGATTCTGCTCACTGCCACTGATAAAGACTTAGCAAAAGGCGCTGTCATCGAAGAAATCCTTCAGAACCCTTCTTACCCCAAGAAGCAGAAGAGACTTAAGAGAACACTTGACGAGCGTGACTCAGTCTCCAAGAAGGAAGACGATACCCAGAAGTGGCTAAAAGCTATCCCTCAAAGAGGAAGTCCTCTGTACCTTGAGATCACGTAAGAGAGTCTCCTACCGGTTGTCCCTCTATACGAAGCAAGCTGAAGATCACTTTTTAGTGCTCGGTTGTTGGCGATTGAATTCCCTACTGTGCCCTGGCCATATATCCAGAACCTTACCCTGCACAAAAGAGAGTTATACGCTGCATATCTCAGTCTGTATGCCCTGGAAGACCCTTCGGCCAAGTCATCCAAGCCTTACACGAACGAACGGAAACGCAATCCTCGCTCACAGACAAGCCTATACATGTCGTACCCGGAAACTCTACCGATCATGAAAGACATTCAACGCGAACTCCAGGCGGCTGCAGAAGCTGCAAAGCAGAATAAGGAGATGAATGCAGGTAGGTCATCTTCCCTGGATACGGAACTCCAGTCTCTGACGCTTGATGGCAACGAAGCGGTCCCCCGTAACAACTTCGAAGATGTCGACGACAAGGAAGCCGAAGAGCGCAACATTCAAACAGGAAACCTAGTGGAATGCCAGTGCTGTTTCGAAGAGGTCCCCGCGAACAAAGCCTTGCCGTGTGAAGGACTTGAAGTTCATTTCTTCTGCTATACTTGCATGAAGTCTTCGGCAGAGACACAGATTGGGATGATGAGGTACAAGCTACAATGTTTTGACGGAAGTGGATGTCAGGCAAAGTTTGATCGGTACGGGCTTGAGCGTGCCTTGGGAGCGAAGATCATGCAAAAGCTCGATGCTCTGCAGCAGCAGGACGAGATTGAGCAAGCTGGGCTGGAAGGCCTTGAGTCCTGTCCCTTCTGCGACTTCCAGGCGATATGTGCTCCCGCCGATGAGGATCGAGAGTTTCGATGCAGGAACCCTGACTGCGAAGTGGTTAGCTGTCGTTTGTGTAAGGAGAAAAGTCATCTCCCGAGCAGCTGCGACGAGGCTAGGAAAGACAAGCGACTCCCGTACCGCCATCGCGTGGAGGAGGCTCTGAGTGAGGCACTCATTCGGCCTTGTCCAACCTGCAAGGTCAAGATTGTCAAGACTGATGGCTGCAACAAGATGACCTGCTCGAAATGCGGGACTCAGATGTGCTATGTCTGCAACGTCAAACTCGGTGCCACCTACGAACACTTCAACCGACCGCCAAACCATTGCCGCTTGTGGGATCAGAATGAAAGATTCCCACTTGGAAGACAGGTTGAACAAGAAATTGAGCAAGTCGAAGCAGATGCTATCGCCAAGATCCTGGCAGAGAACCCTGATGTCACCGAGGAAGAGATCCGAGTGAATCGTCCGGGACAGAAGCAGAAGGCTAGACCGCCCCGGCCAGGTCGACCACAAAATCGGCATGCAAGACCTCCTCAGCCAGATCGCGCGCGTCAGCCTGTTCAACCTCAAGTTCGCCTCAATATTCAGGTCCCTCGGATTCCACAGCCAAACCAGCCGCGTCAACCTATGCAAGCGCCGCAGCACATACAAGCGCCTCGGGTCATACGGCAAGCTGATCCTGCTAACGTCCCCTTCAGAGAACCTTACAACAACCACGTGCAAGCTCAGACAAATCGAGAGCCACCCGACAGAAATTACTATGCCAACAGAATACAAGATATTTACGCCGGTGGACTTCCTTGGAATGCTCCTGGCAACAATTACCCTCTTCCCAATCCACAAATAAATCAGATAAACCCTGGCGAAGCTGGCTTTCTACCGCAGGGCCACCCTCCCAACAACCCAGTGGTAATGCCAATTGATCCTCCTCCTTACTACTCTTGGAACCAAGGCCAGGCTGTACCCATGGCACCACGCTTTCCTCGGCAGAACGTCGTAAACAACCCTGCGCCTAATCCGGTCGGGCCGGGACAAACCATCCAATATCCACCCTACTACGTACCACCTGTCGTTTCTCAGAACGCTCGACGAGCATCCGGCGGACTGGGAGGATATGCTCGCGACTAATTCCAGTGCTGGAAGCTTTTCGCAGACATTGATCCTACCACTGTGATTGTCCGTTGAAATGCTACTTGCTGACCATGTGGCGTTGACCATGACAGCCTCCTAGCATTCACGCATTTTGGTCTTTTTGAATAAATTTAGGGCCTCTATCCCCTGCCTTGATTGGGTTGGTCTTGGAGAGAACAAGAGTCAAGAATATCATCCCATTTCGCTGACTCCAGCTGCCTTCTTTGCTTTTGCATTTTTCTATTAACCATCCACGGTCGAGCAAGCGTTAAGGAGTTCAGGCGTCCCATCTTCATCATCATCATTGTCATCATCGTCATCGTCATCGGTTGTCTCACGCATCACCACCAATCGGTTCTTTCTTGGCTTGGCATAGCCTGGCATAGCTTGACTTCTTGCGCAACAACTTTGCTTGTGCGATCCCTCTGAGTTCTAAATTCCCATGGCAAGGAGACAGACATGTAGGCAGACAGACAGGCAGATAGATGAATCATATTTCCCTGAAAGATATCGGGGACCTGGACTTCGTGCTCCCCAGAGTCGGGAGATATAGGACAACCTATACTTTGGATGTCGTCATCGTCTCATCGTATGGCTTTTCCAAAGCTTTGGGGGTTAAGCTCCAGGGCCATGTTCCCATGCTCACGAACGTAGCCCACTCACTCTCCTCCACTGGATCAGCAGCGTAGGTTCTCCAGGCTACCACGGTTACGGACTCGTCATCACCACAAACACCGACTAGTTCTATGTACCTATCCCAAGCAGAAAGCACAGTTACTTATATCAACACCGAACCCGACCTAGGTTGACAAAAGTCCCTTCCAGATGAAGCAGAGCGTTCCCAACCCCAACCCCAACCCCAACCCCATCCGTCTGAACCCGGTGAGGACACAGTAGAGAAACGAGAAAAGGCAACGAAAGGAGGGCGGGCCATTCATTCAACGCGATCCTCTCCCAGAAAAACAGAGTCGGCAGACTTCCACTCGTTTCCATTCTTCCTTCATTTCCACCTCCAAAAGCAAATTCTAAAGCACAATCGTAATCCTAATATCTCGAACACTGGACACGCTACCTACCTACCCTACTCTTTCCAGACTATCAAATCACCCGCTGGGCAGCGGTTTGTGGCATCCCGAGACAAATACATAAACCCATTCGCAGCTTGGACTCTCCCCAATGCCCCGATCCTGCGCATTGAGTTTTCCAGTGTTCCGTGGTTGGATTGAGGGGGGGGGAGGATGAAAAGTGCGGGGGGGAAAGTTTCCATTTCTTCATGGTGACCCATCTCATTGGTTGTTATTCAATATTTATGTATGTCATGTGTGTAGTTTATAGTAGCCTGAACTATGCGCTTCTTGTTTTTTCTCTCTCTCTTTTCAAGGTGGGATTTCATGCTTTCGGAACTTGAAATTTTGGGCGAAACACACAAAGACTCGAAGCAAACACGGGGACGAACAGGGGAGAAAACCGGATTTTCATGAAGGGGTCGGAGAGGGGGAAGTTTAAATGCGACGAGCTCGGGGGGGAAAAAAGGCTGGCTGGCGGGTGTGCCAGTGGTGGTGGCATCTCCCGTCAAACCACATGATTAATTACAAACAACTCACCCAAATAAGTTACCCCCTCGGGTCACTCGGCTCGAGGCATAAAAGCATAAATCACCCAGGACAAACAAGGCAGGCAGGCAACCTTTCCATGGCGCTGAAATTGGCCGGTGATATGAATTTGCTAGGATCATATAGTTGGAGAGAGAACGAGCTCGACAAATGATAGGAGAGAGAGAGATACAAATAGGAGATGGTATGGAAGATGGTGAGTCCCTTGAAGAGAGGATGTGAACAAGTAGAGAGATATGAAAGTAGGGAGAAAGAAGAAAGAAAGAAAAAAAGAGTAATGAAAGAAGTGATAAAGAAATGACAATCGAAGTGATAAGAAAAGGAACGTGACAAAATGATGATCAGGAAACATTCAAAACGAAGAGCGAGCACAGAAAGACAACAAAAGATATCAACCAAATCTATGATGATGCCATGCGAGTCCCAAAAATCGTCCGCTCCCCATTTTATATATTTGCGCCGCTCAATCGACGACAATTCCTAAATTTCCTCGTCCATCATGTATGTTCGATCATTGGCCACGCTAAATAGAATGAGATATATGAAAAAAAGAGAAAGATAATGAGTAAAGGAGCAGAAAGTGTCTGGTCGGAAAGTCCCAATGGACTAGACAAAGAGGATGCGGCGATCGCGATTGAAACGGAGTTCATGGCGGATGCTCCGAATCCACGGGTTCGTTGAACTTTTGCCGCGCCTCCTCCACCCATAGTTCCAGTCGAAGTTCACCAGCTTCTACCCGGCGTACTGGGACAGTCTTGGCGCGTCCGTTTGACACTTTCGGGGGTGGCGGCTGCGGTTCGCCATTTCTCAACTTCGAGACCGAATACGGCGCGGTACACGATCTGAGGTGGACTTTGCCCGGTTCTGCGACAATCCATGTCTGTTCTTCGGTCGTAGATCCGGCCGGGGGAAGAGCGTCCTCGCGCACTTCGATGCAGACGGTAAAACTGAACTCGTCATCTCGAGGCAATGGCGTCAGCCGTGCGCATGCAGATGCCAGGCGGGCGAGGCAGGCGCGGAACTGTGCTTCCAGGTCGACCGTGGGAGGAGCGGGAGCTCGATCGGGCAAAGGAATGCCTGCCTTGGAGGGATCCTCCTTTCGATCCTCAAAGGTGGTGTGAATCTCCCCGGCGGGCACGCGGGGGAAGCCCGACAGATCGAACGCATATCTTTCGAGGGGCTGGTTGGTACGGAGAGAAGAAATAATGATGCTGACAGCGGTGATTGTGCCCTTCAAGATTTCGGTTCCGACCGCGATCGACGCATCATTGATGTAGTCACACACCTTCGGGTGACGGGATTGCCGGACAGGATAATTGTACGCCCGGACAGGGAGGAACGTTGCTCGCGGGTAGACTGACCGGAGGAACAGGATCTGGTGTATCGATACGGTGAGGAAGTTGGTGAAAGATGCCGCCAACGCAGACTGGTTGTTGGGCAGCGACTTCGGGGCGGTGACAGGAGTTGAGAACGTTGTCATGGTGGTTGTAACGGAAGGGATTGTGGTACTCTCACTGGCAATAGGCATTGCCGTCGAAGGCTCTGGTATCGTCGTTTCCACGGGAGAAATGGTATTGACGGGATCTCGGAGATTCTGAGTGCTGTTCCACCCTGAGGCTAATCATCGCTCTGCCTTTATCGAGTCACGCGAGTCAATAAACTGTTGTCTCTTCCATTTATAAAAGACGAGTGGCGTTCTTCGGGGGGGGGTTATCCCAGTCTAAAGATTGTCTGTGACGTGACAGGGGAATTGAGGGGGGTGGGAGAAAGTGGTGGGGATGGTGATATTGAGGAGGGAGGGGAAGGAGGGGTGGAGAGGGGAGCAACCACGATTCGTGATAGACAAGTAAGTGGTTTGGATACAGAGCAATGCAAGTTGCGAAAGATAAGCGACTTGAGTCAGGAGGGAAAGAGGTCGGGAAGTCGGAGGGAGAGGGAGCAGGAGATAGAGGACAAGATGTGGAAGCGACCAGTGACGGTGAAGTTGTGTTAAGGTAACTTAGTAGTGGTGGTGGGTGGTAATTGTGGTGGTGTTGGTGATGAAAGGTCAAGGAAGAGGCATGATGGGGAAATGGGAAACCACAGAAGAGGGGTGATTGTGATAATGGTCGGTGGTGGTGATGGTGGTGAAACAAGGGGAGAGAGAGGTAGAGGAGGGAGGATTAGACATACGTTGGGTGGACTGGACAACGAGACAACCAAATCTCAGAGCATGGAGGACTTCGTTCGTTGCGATCGTGACAAACGGCGAGGTGAGAGGGGGGGGGGGGGGGGAGAGAGAACCGTAATCGGAGTATTAGAAAAGAGAGAGGGGAGAGAGAGAGATAATGCGGTGATGATGTTGATGATGATGATGGAATTTCTCTTTTTCCCCTGCCCTGGTTGGATGTCCTTTCCCAATTAATTTTCTTTTTTTTTTCCTTTTTTTTTAAGAAAAGGTCCCTCTTTTTCCTTACAAACTGCCTCCCTGAACAACAAACAACAACCACAACGGTAACCACCACCTTTTCCACTGAACCCTCTGCGAAAAGGGAAGAAAAAAACGGGAGAAGGGAAAAGAACAGGGAAATAAGAAGAAGAAGAGAGCACAAACGGATTTTTTTAACTTATACTTCTCTTTCTTTTCTTCGTTCCTTCTTTTCTTCTCTGAAATGTCTTGCGCCAACAGAGACAAGAAGCGGAGGGAAACTGACAGATGGATGGATGGATATGGGACCGACCCTTCTGATTGAAGAGGGGAGAGGGGCGGCGGCGGCGGGCGTGAAAGGGAGAGGTGGGCTACTGCTGGCTGCTTAAGTTGCTCTGAACTGTATCGGATTGGGATAAGCCAAGGTTTCCCAGGGGAGCCCGCTTAAGATCCCGGAGCTAGTGAGGGTAAATCGTGAATATAGTGAATGTGAAAGAGTAAAGACACCCGGGGTTAATACAAGAAGCCAGAAGAAAAACACCAAAACTAAATTGCAAGAGAAGAGAGAGGGAATGGGGCAGAAGAAGAGGAAGAGGTAAGGAGAAGAGAGAGAGAGAGAGAGAGAGGAAAGGAGAAGGAAAGAGAAGGAAGAGCGAGAAGAGGGAGAGTTTGCGGGCAACTCAACTACTCAAGTCTTTCGGAGGGGAAAGCTTGTCGGGCGACGACGAGTCGTTACCTTAGTTAACTAAGAGCAGAAGGCGCCCAAGTCATCCATTCTCATGGCTGTCTCTTTTTAGACTACACTACTAGGTAATCATTAATTCCGTAGTTACGGAGACTGAGTACGGAGTACGGACCATACTACCCATACCTAGTACTCATTCATACTCACCACTCTCCTCTCCCCCTCTGCCTGCACCCCTCTCCCCGTCACGTGGTTGCGTCATGGGTGTGGATGCCCTGCAGCATTCAGCTCAATCATCCATTCTTACCATTCGTTACCTTACCATCTGACGAATAGGCAGGATAGGCAGGATGTACAGTACTGTACAACCCCCCCGAAAATGAGGATTGTCGTTCAGCATCTTGCAAATCCAATCCTTCGTCCTCTACATGGAGTTGAGGCTGGGCTAGGACGGAATGAACCCGACTATAGCAATCTTAGGAAACGAAAACGGTGTAAATTGTAAAGGGAGCAGCATACGTAGAGGCGAAAAGGATTCGGTCATTGTGCATTATAACTTCCCCTCATTGACCATTCAGAGCACGGGGGCAAACTGCAGACAAGTACCTACTAGTAGACACACCCTAGGTACATGTTTGAGTAAATTCAGTGCAGGTGAAGAAAGAACTCCCTCTTCCCTTTGCTTGACTCGGTCCGAAAATCAGACACAGAAAAAAAGGAAAGGAAAGGAAATACCGTGGACAACACCTGGTACTGACAACGAAGGTGGAAGGGAAAGTGCCCAAAGTTCATCATCAACATTCCCCACTCGTTCTGTACCGAGCAACAATGCGCATTCGCTGGTTAGTACCGCCTCTTCCGTTTGCCAGGCCGATCATCTGCTACCAACACTTGACTCGCACAACAAACGGATGTGACAAGGAAAGGCGTGGAAAGCAGAAATGCCAGCCGTGGTTGACCGACGGCGGTGGGTATCCTGGCTATAAGGAACCAAAGTCTAATTGCATACTGGCTGAGATTCTTCCCACTGCGAAAAACGGGTCTTCCACCACTACATGTGCTCTACTCAACCCGGAAATTCATTCAGTGGTCTGTCTCCAAGAGGTGTGTGGTGCAGCCTGCCTTATTAGCCCTTCCCCCCAGCTCTGGAGATATCAGTCTGATATCACCCCCTGGGTTTTAGCGACGATCATGGCGAGTAAGTTATTCTTCGTAGAGAATTATTCATCCGTCCGTCCTCCACATTGCTCAGCGACATCCTTGACTTGCGGGTACTGACTCTGGTAAGTATGTATGCACTGTGCTGGATACTGTATGATCAAGAGTTTCACTGCAGGACTTCATTGCCTTCTTATTACATACAGCTGCCTTTTGTTCTTACCCGAGGTTATTGGCTTGATTAGTTGTGAAACCCAGTCAGCCTTGAAGTACAGTAAGTACGCTCGCATACCAGACATTTGCCCTCCAAGCAATGAATCATTCTACTTCTTTCCTGTTTAGGGGGATTTGCCGCCCCTCAGGTGCTCAATTTAAATAATCAATAATAACTTGCCGGTTTCTCCCCTGCCTTTAACCAAACCCCACCATGATCAACTTTAGTTAACTAAAGTACCAAGTTACTCATACAATTAATCAGCCTCCTCTTCCTCACCTCCCCGGGCCCATCAAAAATCTACAACTTACCCGAAATTCTTTACATAACCATACCCAACGCCACTGGAGCCGCCTCCTTCCCCCTCCCCGCGGGAGCCTTTCTGTACCTTTCCTATGGTCACCGGTACACATATTCGCTGCCGGGTACCTTACCTAGGTACAGTTTCTGGAGTACCTGGGTTCGTCCCAAAGTACCCGATAGATACCAGCAATCAGACCACCTCCCAGGGGTATGAACTCGGATCTCAATCAGAGCCTACCGAAAAAGAAAGCGCCCTACGGCGATAGTCGAAGATTGCCCATCCTCACCCTCCGCGAACCATAGACTGCACCATAGGCTGCATGACCGTCAACCACGACGTTACTTTATCAACCATTAAAGTTCTCACGTCACAGATATCCCTACGGAGTACATAAGAACATCATCCGTTGGGCGGACACTTACCCGCGGATTAGATTGCTCCATTACTCAAAGTGATCATCGTCACTCTTGCTTTTCTCGAACACCCGAACCAGATCTTCTCCACAGGACGCCACACGCCCAGAGGGGAGATCCATAACTCGGGTAGACTAAACAACATCCCTCTTTTCCCTCGCACATTGCTGCCAAGTGCTAGACTAGAATAATGCTAACAAAAACTCGCTTGCCCGTCAGCTTTTTTTTCTCTCCTTTTTTTTTCGCCCTCGCCTGATCACTACCTCAAAGAAGGACCCATGCTATCCGTTGGCTCACTGCGGGCCACTACATCTAACGCTCAAAAACATTTGTAGAGTCGGGTAGCCCGTACCAACATCTCATCCCGCTGATACCAGCCGATTTTTTTCGAATCCCCACTACGTTGCCCCAACTATCACGGGCATTCTTTCTTGGAGTATAATGCACCTTGATTCGCGTAAGAAGCGTTTCAACGCCTTGGTCTGCCTGGGTGATATTCGCAGTTGCCGCTGATCATTGCGAAGGCAAGAAAGGGACCGGTGTCGTCAGGGAGCTGGGGCGCGCAGATCTTGATATAAATATCAACGATCGTTGCGGAAGGGCCACATGCTGGAGAAAAGCCTGTTTGTTTGCCCTGGCGGGACAAGGTCGAAGTACTGAGTATCATGGGTCAACTGAACATGGGATGCCTACGATCAGAGGCACACGTGATGGTTTTCAGTCGCGACCCAAATCCGGGGTAAAGACGATAGTCGAGGGATCTTCCCTGGCACCGAAGACCCTTGTAGGACGAAGGCTAAATCGGAGGTTGGATTTGTCTCACGAGCGTGATCGCGAGATGTACTAGGTACTGATTATCTGTAGAGGTGTGGTTCTTGATAAGATCTTGCCCAGGGATAAGCGCATCGATCGATATCCTTGTCGTCTAGCAGTCAGGGATGGCTTCCTACACAGTTGATGCAGACGATCCGCTTCACGCCCCAGCAACATAGATAAAGGATTTGTGCTCTCAATTGTGAAGCGCACCCTCCTTATCTTCGGCGATGAGCGTCTCCACCGATTGGTGTACCTGACGTCCCTGGGCTGGTCTCGCTAGTGGGTTACTTAGTTATCCTGTCTTTCAAACCCGCAGAGTATGATGTGGCTTCTTTGGATCTCGGGAAAAGGTATAGTTGCACCCATTAGCAGATCAATTGACAGGTGACGAGCCTTTCCATTTCTAGAAATCCATTCTGTGCTCTCGGCATTGCACTCAGATCCATGGCTGACAGATTCGTCGTGATTGATACATTGCCCATA